TATCTACGCACCACAATCAACCAGCCAACGGACCAACTTGACAGGCCGGGGGTCCCTGTCGGCAGGTCAGAGACCATCCAAACCACCATCCCGTTCCAGAATGCACTCTAAGAAAATATTACTAAATACCAAGTAGCAAAAATTTAATTTTGGGCGTACGTGAGCGAGATCAGAAATTTGTTTTGTTGTATTTGTTGCAAGCAACAATAAACGACTTTTTATGAATTAAATTTCTTGGAATTCAGCCCAAACCACCCCAATAAATAATCTAAGTTCAAGGCCCTCATTTCATTCATTTAAGACGTATTTGCTTTTTAAAAATACATATAAATTTATAACTTATAATAAATTTAATTATTTAAAATTGTGGCAAATCATATTTAAATTGATAAGTGTTTCCACCTAAAATATTTGTGCGTCAATTCAACGTCAGAAAAAAATCTAATGAATTTACCAACAATTTCTAGCCGTGTGGTCCAATGCCAATGAATTAGGGCTGTTAAATATGCTGAGTGTAGGCGGAGTGACCATCAGCCTGGCCAGAAAGTGAACAGGAGCAACTGTTTCGTGTTGCTGCCCGTTGATAACAAGATTTGTTTTCCAAAATTTCAGGAGGGTCGTCCTTAATTACGCCGAAAAGCGCAATGAGCAATTTGGAAATGGCAAGTGAGCGGTCTAAACCACATCCACCCCAAGCAATTTAGGTAAATTAAATTTAGAGTGCGCCCATCCTTCGATTTTTAAACCGAGCAGAGCAGAGCAGCGCAGAGAGTTAGGCTCAAAAGTCAAAAGTGTATGGCCCGTTTGGTTGATTTGAGCCAGAGATAAGGGGAATCGAAGCGGAGGACAGACCCAGACAGGATACTGAATCCGGGGAGGCGCTGTTCCACCCCCTCTCACCAAAAAAAAACACGCATCCTTAGACAAATGGTAGCAACCAGACACTCGACACTCGCTACACGGATATTCCATTAAAAAAGCCAGAGCGAATTGAACAGTTTCCACTTTATGATTTATTGTAATGAGCCTTTTATTTATGGCACGACTTCTTCTATTGGCCAGAACACACAAAAAACATAAAAGTTTACGAGTATATTGCAGCGTCTGCTTTCGTTTGTATATCTCCATCCATTTTTTGTTTGCGTTTTCGAAAATTAAAAATTAATTAGGCATTTATCACTTGACTGTCTAACAGATGGCACTTTTCCTGGGGTTGGAGGTGGCAAGTCGTTGACACAAGTACAGGATAAGTGCAGCTGAACATGAATATTCCTTTAGGCCAAAATCGTACACGGAAATATAGTTAAAGTTGAAACAGTTACGCAAAGACTTGCAGATTGAGTGGAATACAGAATTATAGGAATGCTGTTTTCCTGAAAAGATATCGTAAGCCTAAGGCGATAAAAACAAATCCATAATTTCTTGAAAAAATAATAAGTAATTTGTAAAGGAGGAAAAACATTAGTCATTTGAATTCCCAATATGAAATGAGTAAGAAATAGGAAACGCTTTTTACTAGAAATCTCAATAAAAATGGGTTTCCAAGATCAAGAAACCCATTTAACAATGACGTACTAGAATAAAAAAGTTGATTCATAAAAAATGAATGCAGAAATTTCGTCTTTACTCATCACCGATTTGAAGATTCACAAATTTTAATTTCATTGTTTCAATTTTTCGCAAAAGTTAGTAAACTGAAAAAAAACAACTAAGCACCGAAAGAGTTAGGGATCCCGTGGTTCGGGAGCTTCGCATTTTGGGAAAACGCTGCTTTCGTAGGTGGGCACCATATATTTGATGTTTATAAAGGCGTTGGGACCTCCGCAGTACTCCAATAACTTCAGGGTGTCCTCGATGACGTCACCGATGCGACAGATGCGATCGGGATAGACTCCCTCACCCAGATTCACATTGACACTTTTGAAAAGATTGCAAACGGCTAACAATTGGCGATAGAAGGGCCAAAGGGCCTATCCCACACAAAAATCATTTTTTTTTTCTAAACAAGATACTGGAAAGCTCAGAATAACTGTGAACGTTTTTTTTTTTTAAGTGTTGTCAAATTATTTATGTTTAATATTTTAATTATTTTTCCTAAGAAAAATCATAAATTATTTATTTCCGTTTCATGCTTGTCAGTTTCCATTTAATCAGATAATCATATATAAGACCTGGACTTATATATATATGTTCATATAAAAAGTAGCTTTTTAAAACATTCGCTTAGAAAGTTTCAATCTAGCAGGCGAGAAACATGGAAAGCAGCTCGCAGAGAATTTTTATAGTGCTCCTCTTAACCATTATTACAGTCGTAAGAAGTTTAAAATTTATTTTAATGTACAACCCACTTCTATGTAGCTTTTATTGCAGATGGCTTATAAACTAGAGAAAAATGGAAGCTCCAAAAAAAACGTGGTGGAGATTTCTCACTTGGGTACGTCAGAACCCGAACATTTTTTTGATCCAGAGGAGGTAAAAATGTTAAAACCAAAACTTCAACCAAATCAGCAGGAACTTGTTAATTATGCTACTGAAACGATGGACGGTTTACAAATATCAACAGACAATCCTAATTTTAGTGAACTAAGCAAACAAATTAGTTTTGGTGAAAACTTTAATCATATTGAGAACAAGGATTTAAAAATGTTCGAAACAAAATTGCATTCAAGTGAGCAAGAAGATGAATATGATTCTAGTCAAACCACGGGTAGTTTCCCAAAATTAACGGACAGTCCTTTTTTGAGTGCTTTAGAACTAAGCAAACAATTTAAGTCTGCGGCAAAGTTCTATCACATTGAAAGCAAGGAAACGGAAAACTGGTACGATGCTTTGACGAGATGTGAGAAAATGGGTGGCCAACTGCTTAGTCTCCAAACTGAAGACGAGTTGAAGGCTATCAGACCATATTTACAGCCAAACAGTAACTATTGGTTGGACATCAGTAATGTTTTATCAGGGCGTAAATTTATATCTGAATCAACCGGTCAAAAACCTAAATTTTTAAAATTAAATTTAGCCGATAGAATCAGCTCTTTGAATGGAGATTTTTGCATTGGGCTGAACGCAAATGATGTGGAATATATGAAGCCGCTTGACTGCACAACTCCAAACCATTATATATGTGAGGCAAATAATAACTTCAACCAAGAAAATAAGGCTGTAGTAAAGTAAGCCTTCTTGCATCCAAAACTACTAATTATTACTTTCTGTAGATCGAAAAGAAAAAGAAATCTCTTTAAAAAATGGTTTTTCAAGATCAACAACAACATTCAACAGTGAAGTTCTAGAATAAAATAGATTATTTTATTCTCTGTATACATATATGTATTGTGGATTATTACTATTTATTTTATTTATATTATATTATTTTTCATAAAAATAGAGGCGATAGAAGGGTACAAGCGCCTGCTCCACACAAGGACCTGTGAAATAAAATGAAATATTAAGTTTTATTTTAGTGATCTTATCACATATCCCAACAATCATCTCTTTATTTCAAAAACAAGATGCTGCGAAGCTCAGAATAACTGTGAATATTTGGTTGTTTGGTAATGACATACCGGTTTCTTTATTGATTTTTGACGACGATTTTAACATAGTTAGCATTGTCCGATTTATGTGCTATATGTACCGTTGTCTTCGATGATTTTCTGCCATTTTGATGGTAACTTTTATATGCCTCTCCTAAAGAAGTCCTTGTCCCTACTGGCAAAAAACTGGGCGATTCGATTTTCACAATCCTCACTTGAACTCAATTTTTGTTCATCGAAAAAATTTTGGATGGTCAAAAACAGATGGTAATCGCTTGGGGCAATGTCCGCACTATAAGGTGGATGCATTAACACTTCCCAACCAAGCTCCCGGTACTTGTGACGCGTCACCAGAGATGTATGGGGCCTGGCGTTGTCATGATGGAACACAACGTCCTTACGATTCACCATGGCTGGCCGCTTCTGTTCAAGTGCAATCTTCAATCGCTCCAGTTGTTCACAATAGAGGTCAGAATTGATGGTTTGGCCATAGGGAAACAATTTATATTGAATAATTCCTCTGATACCCCATCATACAGTCAGCAACACCTTCTGACCCGTCAGTCCTGGCTTTACCACCGTTTGAGACGACTCACCGTGCTTCGACCAGGATCCTTTACGCTTTATGTTGTCATATGTGATCCATTTTTCATCACCAGTGACTAACCGATCCAGAAATGAGTCGAGTTTATTACGGTGCAACAAAGATTCGCTGATTGATACACGGTCGAAAAGGTTTTTTTGGGACAACTCATGAGGCACCCATACATCGAGCTTTTTTGTTAAATTTTTCGACTTTAAATGCTTATGGACGGCTTAAGTGCTTAGTTGCAGCTCCTCTGCGAAGGTTCTAATAGTCACATGACGATCTCGATCCACTATTTCCATGATTTTATCCGTATCAACGGTCACTGGTCGTCCGGAAGGCTTGGGTGTTTCGGTATCAAAATTGCCACTTCGGAATCGCCTAAACCACTGTTCGGCGGTTTGAATCGAAAGTTTGTTATCTCCAAAGACAGCAATAATCTGTCTGCGAGATTCCGCGGCAGTTTTTCCCTGTGCGAAAAAAAATATCAAAATTGCCCGAATTTTTGCGTTTGTGAAGCTCATGTAAACAAACTATATTTAAAGGTGATGCCAATACCTTTCAAACAATATACAGCATTGCCAGATACGATTATATTTGACTTCACAAGCGAAGCGCGAAGTTTGAAAAATCGGTATGTCATTACCAAACAACCTAATATATTTTAAGTGTTAATTGGTTGTATTCAATATTATATGTATTTATTTTTTCTTAAAAAAAATGTATTATTTTTTCGGCGTGGAAGCTGATAAGCTAAGCTTCCATTTACTGCAATCGTGTGTCATTCATTTGGACATAATTATCAATCAGACAATCAGTAGAGGTATTATACTTATGTACATGTACAAAGATGCTTTATAGAACGTACGCTTAGAAAGTTTTAATCCAGCAGGCGAAAAACATGGACTACAGTACGGAGAGATTTGTTATAGTGTGCCTCTTAGTGATAATTACATTCGTAAGAAGTTTTAAATTTATTTAAATTAACAACCCACTTCTATGTAGCTTTTATTTTCAGATGGCTTATCACCAACATAAAAATCAAATTCCAAAAAGAATTGTGGTGATTGCTCCCTGGAATACGTCAGAACAAGAAGATTTTCTTGATTTAAAGAATTTAAAAATGGTGAAAGAAACAATTCTGTCAAATGAGCAGGAAGTTGTAAATTATACAAAGGACAGTTTACAAATACCCACAGACAACCCTAATTTTAGTGAAATAACCCTTGAAAACAAAGACTTAAAAAGGTTCGAAACAAAATTGCAATCAAATGAGCAAGAAGCTGTATATGATACTAGTGAAACCACGAGTAGCCTATCAAAATCGACAGACAATCCCATTTTGAGTGCTTTAGAACTTAGTAAACAATTTAAGTTTGGTGAGAAGTTCTATCATATTGAAAGCAAGGAAACGGAAAACTGGTACGATGCTTTGACGAGATGTGAGGAAATGGGTGGCCAACTAATTAGTCTCCAAACTGAAGAGGAGTTGAAGGCTATCAGACCATATTTGCAGCCAAGCAGTAACTATTGGTTGGACATCAGTAATGTTTTATATGGCGGTGAATTTAAATCTGAATCAACCGGTCAAAAACCTAAATTTTTTAATGTAAATTCATCCGATGGAACCAGCTCTTTGAATGGAGATTTTTGCATTGGGCTGAACGCAAATGATGTGGAATATATGAAGCCGCTTGACTGCACAACTCCAAACCATTATATATGTGAGGCAAATAATAACTTCAACCAATAAAATAAGGCTGTAAAGTAAGCCTTCTTGCATTTAAAACCACTAATTATTACTTTCTTTAGATCGAAAAAAAAAATTTCGATAAAAATGGGTTTTCAAGATCAACAATATTCAACACAATGACGTTCTAGAATAAAAAAGATTATTTCATATATATGCTTTGTGAATTATTATTATTTATTTTATTTATATTATATTATTTTTCATAGAAAATTAAGGCAGAAATTTGGTCTTTACTCATCATCGATTTGAAGATTCACAAACTTTAATTTCGTAGTTTAAATTTTCCGCAAAAGTTAGTCAACTGAAAAAGTCAACTAAAAAACAAAAGACTTAGGGATCCCGTGGTTCGGGAGCTTCGCATTTTGGGAAAACACTGCTTTCGTAGGTGGGCACCATATATTTGATGTTTATAAAGGCGTTGGGACCTCCGCAGTACTCCAATAACTTCAGGGTGTCCTCGATGACGTCACCGATGCGACAGTTGCGATCGGGATCGATTCCCTCGCCCAGATTCACATTGATATTTTTGTAGAGATTACAAACGGCCAACAATTGGCGATAGAAGGGTACAAGCGCCTGTCCCACACAAGGACCTGTGAAATAAAATGAAATATTTAGTTTTATTTTAGTGATCTTATCACTTATCCCAACAATCATCTCTTTATTTCAAAAAACAAGATGCTGCGAAGCACAGAATAACTGTAAAAATGTTTTAAGTGTTAATTAGTTGTATTCAATGTAATATTTATTTTTCTTAAAGAAATGTATGAATTATTTATTTCCGCGTCATGGCCTATCAGTTTCCATTTACTGCAAGCGTGTGTCATTCCTTTTACATAATTATCAATCAGAATATCATAGGTATTATATGTACATGTATAAAGATGCTTTATAGAACGCACGCTTGGAAAGTTTAAATCCAGCAGGCGAGAAACATGGACAACAGTTCGCCGAGATTTTTTATAGTGCTCCTCTTAATGATTATTGCATTCATATGAAGTTTATTCTAATTAACAATCAACTTCTATGTAGCTTTTATTTGCAGATGGCTTATCAAGGACATAAAAATCAAACTTCCAAAAAAATGGTGAAAGAAACATTTCTATCAAATAAGCAGGAAGTTGTAAATTATGCAAAGGAGAGTTTACCAAGAAATTAAATTCTAAAAATAAGGCTGTTGTTAAGCAAGCCTTCCTGCATTCAAAACCACCAATTAGTACTTTCTTTACATCAGGGAAAATCAAGAAAAAGGTATATTCTGACATTAAAATATTTGGTGACTCACCCAATCGAACCATCAACTGAATGACTTGAAGGGCGGAGATGATGATTCGCTTGTCGCGAGTTTGAAAGGCTCTTTTTAGTGGAAGGATCAGTTTGGGCAGCACGGGCAGAACTTTTTTGGGTGACCTCATGATGAGATCGATGGCTCCATTCACCGCCAGCAACCGGGTGTCCGAGTCCATGTCCGCCAGTCCATCCACAAAGATCGGTAGGTAGTAGCAATAGTCGAGATTCTCCGGCACACAGTGCCACTTCACCGGACGCTCCTTGGTGGGATCCTGTTTGCTGCTCCTTCCGGACATCACGCACGGAATGTCTCCGCGATTGAAGTAGATCTTGAATACGGTCTCCTTCACTGGCTTTCGCTTGAAGATGTCGATCCTAAAGAGTAACAGATGGAATGAAATATTTCTTTTAATTCTACTTTAATTTGTATTTATTTTCACTCACTTTGGAGGTGGCTTCACCACAGTGTTAGGTTGAAGTGCCTGATAAGTAAAGGCAGGTACTTCTCGAACAGGCTAAAATGAAGTAAATATATTTATATTTAGAAAATTTTTTTTATTTGTATTTATATTAAATAATTTAGTTATACTTACCACCTTCGATCTCAGATACAACAATTCGCGACAAACCCTTCCCGATTCATGAATTCGCTTGGCGCGCTCACCGCCGGTGGAACACATTGTTAGTAGAGAGAAATCCTACTTGCAACTTAAAAAAAAAATTCTAATCAAAACTAAATATGTTTGTGGAGCATTTAATAGTGTGACTTGATTTTTGAGCTTTGCTGTAGAAAATATTCACGGATGTTTTTTGAATGGGCTACTTGGAAAAAATGCCAATCGAAACAGTTACAAATATTGGAAAATCGAAAGTGGCTTGACACTCTATGCGGAGTTTACTCGCACACAAAGAAACAAAATGTAAATAAATTATGTGTAAGTATGACAATATTTATAAATATGTTCTTATCAAGACGTTACACTCGCCCCCATTCTACAAACCGAATAATTTTGGGGTGTCGTCACCCCGGGCAATTCACACCTAAAAATGTTTAGCGTCTCTAAATAGTCATAAAGGGAAAGTGCAAACATTTGCGCACTTTATCATCTTTTCACATTTTCCGCCCTCCGCTTTTTCCTCCCGCTGAAGCCTTATTTTTTGAGCGGTAAATGTAACGGTAAATATTTTGTAACGCCCGCCAATTAAGGCGTCTACTGTGGACCCCCTGACTTTAATTTCGAAGTCCCTCCACCTTCCCCATCCACGGCATTAACCTACTTAAAACGGTGGGGAAAGTCGACCTATCTGCGCTGCGCTGCGCTTCTTGTTTCTGTTGGCCTGAATTAATTAAAATCCGACATGCGAATTACTCGACTGTCCTTATCTGACTCCGTTTTCCAGCTTCGTCTTTGGCTTTCCCGGTTCTCCTGTTTTTAATTACCCACGCACAGCTTTTCACTTTCGCCCAACACATCGTTGCACGTCGCGATTTATCCGTTTTAATAATGTCGAGAGGACTGGGGGCTCGAGTCCCTCGAATCCCCAACTTTTGCCTGGCTTTTGGCCCGGCTTAGCTTCTGTCGTTTTCTGGCATGTAAATTGAGTTAGAGGCATTTAGGATTATGCAGAATAAGGACGGGAAGTCCTCCTCCTCCGCGCTAATTGCTAAGCATTTCGCCATGGAAATGTGATGGGACCAACGCAAGAAGTTAGCGAATATGAGCAAATAGTAGTAAGAGGACTTATCGCATCAAGTGCATCTTGGTTAGCATAAGCGAAAGTCTTGCGGTCTCATTTGAGGTCGTACAAAACAACAATATGGTGCACTTCAAAATTATGTATGTCAATCTTGACAACTTTTGTTTGGAATATTTATTCAATAGAGTCTAGTATTTTCTGCACTTATTAAATTATTATTAAATATTTTACAACATTAATATTATCCTCGAAATAACCTTTTGAGGAGTTTGGGGCTTAGACGAACTCCCCTTAACATATCAATTGCATTGGCTCGCTGATCAGCCTCGAAAATAGGCAATATATCAACTGCAAATAATTATTAATTTTCCCCATTAGGCCACAACCGAATGGAAAAACCAAAACAAAAGACTCCCAATGGCAGACGACAGTTCGGAAATTCCCGCTAGAAGCGAAAGCTTTCACAATGGCCACAACGCAAATCAGCCGGATCATAATTTATTGGGCCCAAAATGGGAAGTATTTCCCCGACGGAGGCACAAAATGGACAAAGGGTCCAGAATTTTCATGGGGGGTTTTGTTAGGCGAGGTGAGCCAACGGTGAGGTAAATTCTGGGGTTTGGGGTGCGTTTGTCTAGCTGACACTTTCATTAACAAAAAGTCAGAGCGATGACAACGGACATCATAGGGTGGGGAGGGGGGACCTGTCTGCTTGTTTTTGCATTGTTACATAGTGCATTCGAGGATGGGGGAAAAGGGGAAAAAGGGGAAAAATGGAGGGGGGGATTCTCCAACGAATTGTGGGTGGTGAATGGCCATTCAGCTGACATGGCTGCAGTGCGGCACGTAAATCTAAACAGCCACTGACAGCTTTCAACTGGCACTCACTCCCACTTTTTATGTGTGCGCCGCCCCGAATTGGAGAGAGCCCATCTTGAATGTCATATAAGCCATATACATATATATCAATATCCTTTGGCCATATATCAATATGCACTCGCTCTCACATATATCTACTTGCGTCGGCTTGTTTGTCTGAAATTGACATCGCTTGTGTTGCCGTATTCAGTATTCAGCAGGCCATTCCCTCCGCCTCCATCGCCGGAACATGGCCAACAACAACACGGGGCTCTTTGGCCTTTTGTTTTTGGGCCCGGTCTACTGCTACTCCAACGGTCCGATCCAATCCAGTCCAGTACGGTACGGTTGGTCCGGCCGAGATTTTATGTTCGCATACATTTTGAGCGCTTTATTGTTTGTCCAATTTCGTGCAACATCGCCTGGCCTGAACGACAGAGAGAGTAATCGAGTATCCGTTGTCCGTCTGCCTGGTGTCAGGAATAAAGAGCTCCATCCCGTTGGCCGTTAGGTGTTAATCTAATAACTGTCAAATGCAGGATGTTGGTACTTCAGATTGGTACGAAAATTGCTGCTAACTCACTTCTAGTGGCGTACAAATTGTGCTGAAAGGAGATCAGCAATGAAAGCGGAAAGCAAAAAGGATTAGGTCATGACCAAACCAATTTAAAAAGATAAAAAGCATAGAAAAAAACTGGTATTATAATCTATATTAAATAGCAAATATTTAAAGTATCTTTTCTTTAAACAGTATCCAGCTTTGCTCCCAATTCCGAGTTCAAACAGCGACTATAATGGCTTTCACTGTGTTTATTTGGTTCAATTGCGCTTCTGGCAGCCTAAGAATAATTTCTGCATCGCCAAAATCCCATAAAAATCAACAACTTTGAGACGGGGCCCATATGAACGTCTAACTGCTAACTGCAGGCCCGGTCGCAAGAGCAGTCGACCATTAAATGGCCACGACCAAAGGGCCACGGGTCTGGCATCTCCGGACTGGGGACCACCGAGTCTACCATTCTAACATAGTTCCAGCACATCCCATCTAGACAGATAAAGGTCCCGCTCTGTACTCTAACATTTTTATGAGTCGTAAATCGAAGCGATAAAAATCACAAGAAAATGGAGATACAAAAACAAACAAGCCTGCGAACCGACTGAGAGAGGTCACTTCGGAGTCGAGATTGGACTGGGTTAGACTTCCAGGCCCTTCGTATCTCTCATAAGTCACACGATAAATTCTGCAACATTGCGCTAATGACAACAGTGCACTCGCAAAAAAAAAACAAATAAATTGTTTGGCTGGGAAATCCAGATCTTGTTTGCTTCGGCATCCGAATGAAATAGTTATGGCCTAGCAGTTAGCTTCTTTGCAAACTAGGAAAAATCTGATATGAACAGGGGTCATAAAATCGACCACTTGGAAACGGGAAATTTTGAATGCAGTTCATTTGGGAATTCAATAACAAACATTTAGAGGTTGCCACTTTAAAATAGGACCAAAATTGTAGAAGTTATGGGTTCTGCTATCATTAAATAAAAAACTTTAAATGCAGTTTGTTATAGAATCCAATCACAATCGTAGAGGTATGTACCTTTGACATCGGAATAACATGCTCAAAATTATGGGCTCCGGAAGATCAGGTTTTGGCTCCCTTTCGAAAAGCTTCTGCATTTCACATAATCTGACATGAAAGGGGGTATGTACGAATTTCAAATTAAAAAACGCACCCCCAAAAAAGCGAAGTGCATTCGCCGGATCGACCGAAGTCGTCGTGCATTCTGCAAACGGCGGAAGTTCATTATTGTCAGTGATTAATGACAAGAAGCGCGGATGGATACTGGGACTGGGATATGGCCAATGGCTCTGCCATTGACTCTGGTCCTTGGCCACATAAGTTAGCTGTTGCTGTCAGCTGGCCCGAATTCGAGACCCGTTTGTATGGTAACATACATACAGAGCGGGGAAAAAATCGGAAGCCAGGACTCGCAGGGCCTGAGGCCGAACAAAAACCGGAGACCACAGGACTAGAAGGAAAGGAAAAGAATGGGAATGGAAGGACGAGCTGTTGACATCACTCCGTCCGTCAGTTAGCTGGAAAATGCATTGCTGCCAGCTGCCAACATGATTAGCGCGTTGATTTGGCAACCGATTGCCGGAGTGCAGTGCATCCGAGCCGAGCCAGGACTTCCAGCCATCCTCAACAGAGTTTGACTTGCCAACTTCGCTCCTCCGCCAATCTGGAATTTATCCTCCCCTCCTCATGAAATGTCCTTAAACTTATGCAGTGCTAAGCGCCATTGACAACGGCACGCACACATCGTTTGACAGAGGCGGAGTTTTGGGGGATAAAGAGAGTAGAGTGGGGTAAGGGGGGGTCGGAAATAGGGGGCCCCTCTGATGGTTCAATGTACGACAAGTGAAATTAATTTCAAACAATGCAGCAAACTCCGAAAACAACAAAGCCCGAGAAGCTAAAACCCCACGACAGCAGAGGAAAATTAAATAAAAATTCCATCATGAACGTTACGGGAGAGAGAGTTGAAGTTCACTGAAGGAAAAAATATTTAATTGATTATACAAAAAATGGAAGTCCTTAACTAATAACCAAATACAAAGTGGTAGGAATTTAAAAACAGAATGAATATGTTTAAACCACTTTCACTTTTAATAAAAATTATTTTATCGACCTTTTTAATATTTTTTTGTAAATATGGGTGTGTGATCATTTTGTTTTTTACAGTGCACGCTTAGAGTCCTGATGAGGAGCCTCAGGAGCACAGTGGATTGCCAGCCATATGACAGACTCAATCTACGTGCCACGATTCGATGAGTTGGCCAAGTTAGGGGGCAAGCAAAAAACCCAAGTCGAGCCAAACCAAACTTGTCGAAAATTATTTCGTTTTAATTATGCCAAAGGGCGTTGTCAAAGGACGTGTCGAAATGTGTCGTCGTTTTGGATGCACCACCACTCTAAATGAAATCACGTCACCGATTTGCCACGCCCCTCCACCCATAAAACATAAAACACCGCCCACCGTACTCAACCAATTGCCGGCACTTCAGGTTGCCTACAACTTTTCCGTTGTCATTATCAATTTGAGTTAATTGCCGCAGCCATGCTGGTAGGAATGTTGCCATTTTGCTGCTGGATTGGACTGGCAGCCATTGCTGTTGTGCTGTCGTCACTTCCGGTCTGGGAATCCCCTTTCTTCGGTCTCCTCACCTCACCTCCCCTCTTTTCCGCTTTCTCCTCCAGACGACGCGACGACGCATTGTCTGTGACTGTTTAAAAGCGTTTAGTCGAAATTTATTTGTATTACATGCCAAAAAGTGCAGACACTTTCAAGAGTGCGGGGAATGGGAAAAGGCGAAATGTTGAATTATTAAATTAAGCACTCGGTTGGTTATGCCATAAATTCCCTTGCACAACGACGACAAGTTTAATCAACGATGTTTTCGAACTCAAGTTAATTTATTGCTTACTAATCATTTGTAGAGTAAACAAGACAAGGACGTCGAGGGGGTTTACAATTTAGGGGGCTATAGTGGCAATTAAAAATTTATAAACCAACAAATAAAAAGGTAACAAAGTAGGGAAGTCCGACTTTTGCAGGAAACAGCTTATCAAAAATTCGTATTAACAGCTTGGCTTTTAAAAGCTTACTTGATAGTTTCAATTGATAACAAACGATAAGCAACAGCAAATACACTTATTAAGTATAATATTATTATTACTATTATTATACCTTTTCTAATAGCGAAACCTTGTCGTTTTTCTGTCTACTTGAACTCCTATGCAATTTCCTAAGAATAAAAAGAACAAGTGCAATAGTCCAGACTGCAAACCCTCCAAAAAATACAATAATCCTGGTGCTCGACTCCAGCGAAAGCCATATTTGCCAAGGAGAGAAATGGTACTCGCAGATATAGTAATCATCGTAGCCGTAGGATTTTCGCATGTACAGTGAGGAGTTCGCCAGTTGTAGGCTGAGGTAGGTCCTTTCGACCTGAACCTCGGTTCCAGGCAGCCAGCGGGTGAAGGTCAAAGGTGAGTCCACGGCTTCCCAGGAGTAGGGAAATGCGCTTTTGAAACTGTGGCCCGAGGTGGCAAAAGTGCTGCCATTCGGAAAGCCCTTCGATACGATGTATCGCTCCAGCAGACTCAATTCCTCCTTCGTCTCCACGGAAACAAGGTTCGCCATTCTCTTCCAGCAATCACTTCGTGCGACGAACCAGTCAAAGAAGTGAGTCGCCTGGGGGATAAATGAAAAAATAATCAAAACATTTTCCTGGAAACTAAAATCTATGGGGGTTCATTTATCCAAATATTTTTAGATTTTTTTAAATTTATTTTTATTTATTTTTTTTATTTATTTTTATTTACTTTTTTAATTTTTTTTTATTTTTTATTTTTTTGTGTCACGAGTTATTCGACAATCCACTTCATAAACAAGATTGACTGACTTGATTCACACTAAGTGCACTAAGTTCTACAATCATGGCAAACAGATAAGAACACTTCATAAAGAATCACAGTTTATATATATAAATTTTATTTTCGTACTATATTCACTTTAAACAATATATTTTTGATTTTAGGCAAATATTGTAACTAACAGATTTTTCATTGCCTATAAAATAGTATCCATCGCCGATCCGATCAAACACAGTTTCACTTCTGCAGCCAGCTATCAAAAGTATTCCCAAGCAAAATAATATTCGCATTTTGCGACGTTCTCTGATTCGTTTGCAAGTCAACAATGAACAAAGCCCTCATTTTTTTATTCTTTTCCCAGCGATGTAGACTTATAATCTACACTTCAATAAAATTGTTTTATAGTATATATGTTTTCTCGTGCCAGTGCTTGATAGTGCTTGAGCCATTTTATGGCGTGCAATTTTTGATGCAAAACTGAATACTAAGATTTACTAGCTGAAAATAAAATCAAAACCGTTACCAGAGGTTATCATTATCCGTTTAATTTGGATATTTTTCACTTTATTTGCCAACTGCAAAGACTGTACAAGACTTGTAAATAATAAGTTTATATACTGTGTATTGTCGTTATCATGAGAATTACTCAGTTCGTTTTAAAAGTGTTGATATGACAGAAGGCTTTGTTATTGTGGCGAGCGGGACCGTTTCCGATTATACGAATAAACATATGTAAACATATATTCTTGTTTAGTAACGCTATTTGACTGAGAAGTTCCCACTGCTTGCAAAAAATATTTTTTTTTAATTATTTATCATAACTTTACCATAATAAATCTTTTAAAATCAATTATTAGTTTATTGTTCTTTGGGATTTTTGCAACAGGGTAAGGTACATTTGTAGATATTCGAATAAGTATACCGATCAGTGGATAACTTGACGGGAATCCGTGCCGTTTAGCGTCTGCTCGCAGATATCGACGGCTCGAGTGTAGCAGGATTCGCTGCTCATTACCAATTCTCCATTTTGCAGTGTAAGGATCAGGCAATTGCGACCCATCTGTGGAGTGGGCTCGTCCACCGCCCAGTTTGAATAACTTAGAGGTCGGGCTCTTCCAAAGTAGTTCCAGTAGAATCGATTGTCGCCTGGCCACCGATGGCCGGCACTCCAGAACTGGGTTCCATTCGGGTAGCCCATCTCGTAGAGGTGCTGCGCCAGAAACCTCATCTCCTCCTCGCTATCCAGGCAAACCCGCGAGGTTCTTTTATCCTGGTAGCAGAAGTTGTGGAATGATGTGTGCTGCGGGAAATATACATGATTATTTGTAAAACAGCTAAGGTTTAAATATACGGATAGCTCTTTACAAAGTTAGTTTTCGATTGCTTTGGTAGCTAAAAAAAATATGCAGGATTGGGTATTTAAAAAATCTGATTCAGCCAAATTTCCTTAACTTATTCCTCCTTTTTCAAAACTTAAATGGTAAGACTTTAACTTATTAATTTGTTTTTTTCTATATTTTTACATCTGGGTTTAGCCATATAATTTATAAATATATAAAATACGCGGCCTTAAGATAGGCAGCCTTTTTTTAAAAGCTCCACAGCGTTAATAATGTCGTTGATATTTTTTCAGCATTAGTAATGCGATGATCGGGAAAAAACGGCTGTGAGCATACAATACGAGATTAAACCTTTGAGACTTTCCATGGTTGTTTATCGCACACTTCACGCTTAAAAAATACATTTCTGATTCTGATGAAAAAAAAATGTTTTTTTTTTATAAAACTACAATGTACATACATGAGTAATTCCATGAACAATTGACTCACCAGCGGCTCTTCGTCGGCAACAAAGTAGCAATAGTTTTCGCGAACCCTCTCGTAGGGAATTCTGCATCGCATTCCATTAGCCGAATCCGCGAGGAGGAGGATCCAAAGGAATAAGGCCAGGAAATACTGGAGGATAAGGCGGAGATCTTTCTTCCGCGTCGGGCGATTCGGCATTGTGCTAAAATAAAACTGCCAGCGGTTGGCATTATACCGTTATCGCCATGCTTTATCGCTGTGAGCGCGGTCTTATCGCTGAAGCGCTTGGTTTGGCTTTTTTGTTTAACTGATAAGGCCATTCGCTGAACTGGTTCAAGATCGCCTCCAATAAATGCTCTAATAATCCATGGCTTAAGTTTCTCATTTTTATTATTTCTCTTAGCAGACAGAGTGTATTTTGTTTTATATTGATTAAATTATTATTACTTATTCTCTGTTTGTTCTATATTTGTAACATTTTAAGCTTGCAACATCCACTTTCTTATTATAAAATTTAGTTTTCTTATCAATTTTTTATAGTTCAAAATAAAATAATTTATATTAAAATGTTAAACAATACATATGTTAAACATAATATTTTTTAAAAAATGTAAAGGGCATTGAAGAGTTTACTTTCAATTTTTTGGAGGATCGCACATGTTATCATGTCTATGGGTATGTTTCCTTAGATATCCGTATAACGCAACTGAGTTCGGGTTGCACATCAAACATTTGGGTTACGCCCACCCCCAAACTTCAGACCCAACTTTGTTATTTTCCCCTGATCCAACTGTTATACGAATTAGCTCTCTCTTCGAATTCTTTGTGTGTGTATGCGGTAGCAGTTTGCATGCAACCGCCACCAGGTGGCGTCTCGCCCTTTTGTCATTTTACTCTTCTCCGCTCATTCGCGTAAGCCGACAATTGAGCGAGAGAGTAAATACAATTTAAGCGGCGGTTCCAACTTCGAACCGCCGGCTCGAACATCAGAGCGAGTTGTAAATCAAACCGATTAATCGAACACATTTTAAAACTAAATAATTATGTGGAATACATTTAAATAATCTGAATATGATTTCGAAGGATTTGATCCAAGTTAACAAATGCCAATTCTTAAAAAAAACCAGTCAAGAAGAATTATTTCTTATTTTTTTTGTCATTATGTTCCGATCTAGCGCCTATATTGAAAAATATTTAAAAACAAAGTTGTTGATTTGGTTCATATCCGCATTATCCTTTCATTGACTTTTTAGTAAAAGTTAATAATTTACGAGAAAATAATAAAAACAAAAGGCCTTGCAAGGGTTATTTTAGTGCTTACAACTTGGTGCATCGACTTGTTGGACCAACCCACTGCAACAAAAATGTTGGGACTGGGTAAACAAGAGCGCCGAGAGAAAAGAGAAAAGTGAGGTTCAAAACAGTGAGGTCTCAACTTCTGTATCTGTATCTTTTTCGTTTTCGAATCGACCGCTCACAAGTTTTTCCACGCCGCTAAAGAAATGTTGCTCTGTCGCTGAAATCGACGTAAATGTGAAAGAAAATCGTGTAAACCGCGTTAAAAAATAGCAGTGCGTGAATTAAAAAACAATGTGTTGTTTCTAAAATCATTTTAAACGAGATTTTCGTGGTTAAGACAATGTTTTCGATGGTTTTTTGGTGCTAACGACGCATGCCCTCTCTCTTTCGCTCTCGCGGCATTTCTGTCTCTCTCCCCCTTGATTTCCGATTCGCTTTTGTGCTGGTCGTTCGTTCGAAGTTGTTTACGAATTGCTGTGTGATAAAAGTGCAAAAAAAACTTGCGAAAAGTACACAAAAACCAATGGAATCCGCAATTAAATGCAGGGAAACCACAAAAAATATAATGAAAACAAGCCGGAAAATGTGGTTGCTTTCTCTGTTGACGCTGGCAGCGCTGCAACTGCACTCGGGCAGCGAAGTCGCGGCACATTTGAATGTTTTCCTAAATCCCGTTGAAGTAATGCGTTTACTAGGTAAGTTTTACCTCACTTTTCACCCCTTTTTTTGGGGTTTCTATTTTGGTTTTTCCAATATTTTGTGTCGCGCCCTTTGTTATTGATTTCTCTTTCACAAGCTCTCTTTGACATAAACAATAGTTAAACAATTTGTGTCAACCAATTACGGAGACAGCTTTAAGTTTTCATTGAAAAAAGTGCACTTCCCTTACAAAATTATGTTTGTTTGTTTGCTTTTTGGCTTAATTTAGATGCCCTCGCTCTATCGCCTCTCCCTCTTTTCCTGGCCCCACTCCCTCACTCTCTCTCTCTCGCTCTCTCTTGCGCATGCCGCAGGTGTTGTTAAACAGTAAAACAAATAAACAAACCGCCCACAACAACAACAACCAACTTTCGTTTGCTTCGTTAGGAAATTTTACGCTTCGTAAAAAACAAAAAAAAAATTAAGAAGAAGAGAAGGAAACAGCAGACACGCCAAAATTTAAAGACAACAACAAAGCCCAAAAATCTACATGCTGCATTGAATTTATCTCTCTTGGTGGGGAATATTTTTGAATATTTCTTGGAACTCAAATTCCTTGGCTCCCAAAAAGAAAAATAACAACACAAAAACACCAAGAGCTTGCTGCGAGAGATATGGGAACAGGGAGAAAGAGAGAGAAAGGGATATGCAAACGAGATGACAACGCAGAGGCGACAACAACAACAATACCGAAAACGTGACTGCAAGGAGAAGCAAAAAAGAGGAATAAGAAGAAGAGGTGGGGCGGGGGTGGGTTGGAGCATCAGCTGTGAGGGACGAAGAATGCACAGTGGGTGCAATTTCGGATTACCTAAGAATGCAAGGCAAACGCTCGTATTTCAAAACTAATTTCAAAGAATTTTCCATTTAATTCCATTTCTATTGTTGATATGAAAAAGCTACATACGTTGTGAGTTGTAAGTTGAAACTAAAATGTTTTTTTTTTCTACTTAAATCCATTTTTTCAACATAAATATAATTAATAAAATATAGATTTATTACTTTTTTTTAATACCTGAATTATTCAGGTTTTTTCCCACTGTCTGCACTTCCTTCCCGTCTCGTAGGGCTCACTGTGTTTTTGGCAGTCTTTTGCATGACAAGTCTGCCCACTTTTTGGCATGCAACGCGCCTTGTTAAATCGAAGTTTTCTTTATCTTTTTCTAACCATGTGTGGGAGCTGTTTCGCTGACGACGATGACGATGCGCATAATTTTGCGTATGCATTTCGGATCTGGGATTTCGGGGGCGTGAAATCAAGTATGCAGAATATTCCACTGTCTGGGAGTCGACTGTGGGCTGCACTTCCCCAGCAGAATGCAGCAAATGCTGAATACATAAATATAACTACGGGGTAATTAAGACAAAGTCGAAAAGTTTCGCAGACTTGCGTAGGATATGCTGCATATATACGGCCATAAAGTAATGCGCGAATGCTTTGTACTCCTCACTCTGTGGGCCATAAATCAATTAAGCTGCATAATTTGCATTTGATTTGTGTGTGCAGAATGGGGTTTATGGGGTTTTATGGGGAAGGGTTTCTGGCTCGAGTCTTTAGCCAAAGTTGCCGGCTTAAAAGAATTTCATTTGCATTTGCGCGTAATTTATAGCTCGCCGATGATCGCACAAGTTCAGTTCCTTTATTTTTTATCATCCCGCCAGGGGTCCCGGCAGAGTTCAATGCTGAAAAGTTTTGAGTCATAAAGTTCTGGCATCTGACAGTCAAATGAAATACGATCCAACCAGCATGGGCTGGGCCCACGATCGAAACATCACATCATATCATACGTTCCCAACATTATTCCCATTTCGATTCCAATCATATTCCTCAGAAATAATCCATTGCACTGAAGGGGAGCAGCCAAAAGAAAAAGGTTTAACGACTTTTCTTGCTGCTGTGACACGCGCTACATTTTAAATAGCCAAAAGAGCAATATTTAAATTTAATTTTATTGCCTCCCTGCTACAATTTACGTAGTTTTCCCTCATTCCGTACGTTTTATGGCACTTCACTGACGATTTGGAATTTTTCCAGCTTTTTATGGTGACCATTTTTGGGTGCTTTGATTTAATTTTACTGCTTCTTGCCGGCTAATGAAGCTGCAATTAAAACTGAAATGGGGAAAAGCAGAGATTAAAGGCTTTGCCAACGGCTTCGGCACGATTTTCACACTCTCAACCAGAAGAATGTGCTAAAATCGACACGCCCCCTCCGCAAATGATCGATTGGCAGCCGCTTTGGGCCATAAATTAGCCGCTATGAAGCCGAAGATATTCGAAATACCGTAGGGGGACGAAAAAAAGTTAAGTTGAATGTGTTAAACTTACCACCAACTGTGCTAAATGAATTGAGAGCTGGCGGGCCGAAGAGTGTGTTGGCTTTTGTTTAGGCCAATTTAAATATTTTCATATTTGCCTAGGCATCGGGCAACATATTGATGGCTTTTGTTATTTGAAGTGAGCCGCGGCTAAGCGGCTTACAACGCAAACAAGTATCTCCAAGATACACACGACGCGCTACTGTGGCAACTTTTAGCACCTAACCGAGGCTAAAGCCGTTGTATCTGTCGGATGGCGGTAACAAGCCGGCCATGTACCTCGTTTACTTCTCCTCCGGGCCAGATCTTCTTCTCTCTCTTTTTTATATACATATATACGAGTATTCTCGTATCTTGTGTTTTGTTCTTCCTCTGGAGGAGTGAGTAGTAGAGACATTTGTGCGCTTCTCCAGTTTATGGCTTGTTCTTGGCTGCCTTTCCAAGATCTCGCCGGCCGATAATTGTGAACGAGCAGGCTGTTTCATCTGGTCGTGCTAAAAGCCTTCCGAGAAACGCCACCGATCCTCACAGACTCCACGCCACTGCCACTCCACACCCCTCCCCCCCAAACAGCACTCCCCCTTAACGGTTTGGCGTTAACTTGCTACTAGCTGGATATGATCAGCAGGCATGATCTATATTTTAATTGGTGTTTGGCAATTTATTGTCCAGCTTCGCCTTTCGCTGGGTTTCCAGACACACTCGCTCGCAAACACATAATGAAGTGGCCATTAGCTAATGAAGCTGTCCCCTTTGAACGTCTGGTAAAAAATTGAGGGGGGTGGGGAAAGTTTATGGAGCTGATCGTGCCAGTTTTTGCTATACGACGTGCTAGCGTTAACAGCTCACCTGACAGATCGTAAAAAGTGCTATCCGAAGGAGTTGACACAGCTGTCTCGTTCGAAGATCTTATCTGTTCAATTAGTGATCGCGAAAGGGGACAATAAACTGCGCTAACCGGAAAGATCTTTTAGTTTAGATATGTCTTAAAGTTTATATCTGGCCAGCAATTAGCATTTCATTCAGATAGTGCGAGATTTTTATTGAAAACTGTATCAACAACTAAATTTGGAATAAATAAATTCTGGAATTTGTTATAATCTTTCAAACCTTATCAGATTCTCAACTAATCATCTCCGCTTTAATTAAATCTATTATCTTTTTTGGCCTCAGTTTATCACGTTGTTTTGTGATCATTTCCGCATTAGCTTTCTATGGTCCACGATTGTCGAAGATATTTATCTGTTCGTACGTGACTTATGGGCCAGTCCCAAAAGTTCGTGTCCGGGCATTGGGATCAATATATTTCGATTTTGTATTCAATCTATTTTTAATGCGATCAGAGATCGTGCGGCCTCGCAGGGCTATCGATTTCGAATTGATGGGCACTTGGCGGGTCATAAAGTCTCTCCCCCGAAAACCAAACAAGATCTCCTCACTCCGATTACATTAAGATTTTTTGATAGCCGAGTATCGCGTTACAAGGCGACATGTTCGACATTGGCTACACTGCGATTTGATTAGGCTCGCATTTTGTGGGGGGCTCAGGGTTATTTGCATACTTATTTTATGGATTCATATGTCTGGTGGCTGTAAACCGCCATAAACTTGGCTAAGCCCGGGCTTAAAGCCATTCCCATTACCGTCTGCCGAACTATTGACAAAAAACGGCATTTAAACAAATGAAAATCGCATAAACCGATTGCAGGCAATAAAGGCGACTGCCATACTTTCCCGGCCAATAAACGGGATGTGGAGCTGTGGATCCGTGGAGCTGGAAAGCTGGGGAGCATCGAGCTCGTCAAAGGCTTACGTAGGGGCTGACTCTACTGTGCTACTGTGTGGTTATCACTGAAAACTGACAACTCTGATAACCCCGCCGGGGGCTGCCAGATGCAGAGCATCGATGGGAGGGGAGGGGAAGTTGGGGCGGTGGGGCGTATGTCAATAATAAATATCAGCCATTGTTTGCCCGGCTTGTGCTCCCCATACAATATATATACCTATATATATGTAGATTGTACGTGCAAGCCGAATCTGCATGCATAGTACGGCGAAAAAGGAATAATCATATTTACTTTAACCAACAACAAGCGCCATCAATGAAGCCCGTTTTCTGTTCTTGCACAGAGGGAAACTATTGAATATTTTGTGCAGACTAAAAGGGTTTTATCAGGTTAAAAAAAGTAGTAAAAGTTAGGAATAAAGCTGTTTATTTAACTTTAGAATATTATTATTCAGATAAGCTGAATATTAATAGATTTTATATGATATGTTGGCTTGGGTTCACATATAAACTTATTTATATACATTTTTAAATAAATCTATTTTTTCCCTCTGTAGAGCAGCGAGTTTATGTCGATGTCGCTATGACATATGGGCGACACGAAGGGGGCGTGGCAGCTTTGGGCAACTGCATAGATGCAAAGATGCAGTGCGTGCATCTGGTCTTTGTTGTCGCTCGCACTGTGTTTATTGAGTTGTTCGGTGTTTATTTGGGTTATGCGCTGTGGGAGTTTTCCGTTGCAGAAAGTTACATTGAAAGTATTGAAGGGCTGGCGAATAAAACCCATCGGAGTGGGCGGCGGGGGGCGGAATGTCTATGGAAACAAGCAGTTGGCTTGTTTCGTGGCTGCATCTAGATGCATCGCTAACTAGGCATAGTACGGCAATCCGTG